GCACTGTCGGAGGGTCAGTGCTGAGGGAGGGCCGCACTGTCGGAGGGTCAGTGCTGAGGGAGCGGGCACTGTCGGAGGGTCAGCGCTGAGGGAGGGCCACACTGTCGGAGGGTCAGTGCTGAGGGAGCGCCGCACTGTCGGAGGGTCAGCGCTGAGGGAGTGCCGCACTGTCGGAGGGTCAGTGCCGAGGGAACGTCGCATTGTTGATGTTGTCCTTCAGCTTTTAAATCCAAAGTTACAATATTTTAATTTGCTATTGGCCAGAGGTCATGGACATCCCAAGTATTTGCAAACCATGTTATTTTATCCGTGTTGCTTTTTTTCTTCTAACATAGGTATTCCGGAAATATGGAGAGCAATACGGAGATATTGTAAGTCCCAAAATCAGCTACAGTCTGTACATCCCGAAGCAGAATGAGTCGTACGTTTGGCAAGAGGTTACTGATGCCTGTTCAACCAGCTGTGGGCCAGGTGAAGAGTCCCATTCATATTATTTCCATCACTTCCTTCATCCAGCAGCCTTCCAGTTCTTACTGTTCAATGATCAGGATAACAAGCACTCACAGAATAGAACTGCAGCAGAATGAGGACTCTTTACTGCTTAACTGCCACTTCCCAACTTAATAGTTCTGGGTGACAATGAATTTGTTTACTTGAACTCACTTACAGGATGTGAGTGTCGCTGGCTGGCCATCATTTATTGCCCTGACCCTAGCTGCCCTTGAGGAGGTGGTGGTGAGCTGCCTCCTTAAACTGCTGCAGTCTACTTGCTGTAGGTTGACCCACAATGCCCGCAGGCAGGGAATTCCAGGATTCTGACCCAGCGACAGTGAAGGAACAGTGATATATTTCCAAGTCAGGATGGCGAGTGGCTTGGAGGGTAACTAGCAGGGGGTGGTGTTCCCATGTATTTGCTGCCCTTGTCCTTCTAGATGGAAGTGATCGTGGGTTTGGAAGGTGCTGTCTGAGGATCTTTGGTGAATTTCTGCAGTGCATCTTGTAGATCGTACACACTGCTGCTACTGAGCGTCGGTGGTGGGGGGAGTGGATACTTGTGGATGTAGTGCCAATCAAGTGGGGGCTGCTTTGTCCTGGATGGTGTCAAGCTTCTTGAATGTTGTTGAAGCTGCACCGACCCAGGAAAGTGGGGGGTATTCCATTGTACACGTGACTTCTGCCTTGTAGATGGTGTGTGGGTTTTGGGGAGTCAGAAGGTGAGTTACTCACCGCAGTATTCCTCACCTCTGACCTGCTCTTGGAGTCACAGTGTTTATGTGGTAAGTCCAGATGTGTTTCTGGTCCATGATAGTGGGAGATTCAGTGATGGTAACACCATTGAATGTCAAGGGGCGGTGGTTAGATTGTCTCTTGTTGGTGATGGGCATAGCCTGGCATTTGTGTGGCGCGAATGTTACTTGCCACTTGTCAACCCAAGCCTGGATATTGTTCAGTTCTTGCTGTATTTGAACACAGACTGCTTCAATATCTGAAGTGCTGAATATTGTGCAATCATCAGTGAACATCCCCACTACTGACCTTATGATGGATTGAGGGAAGGTCATTGATAAAACAGCTGAAGATGGTTGGGCCTAGGACACTACCCTGAGGAACTCCTCTCCTCGAGCTGAGATGACTGACCTCCAACAACCACAACCATCTCCCTGTACACCAGGGATGACTCCAACCAGCAGAGTGTTTGGCCCTGGATTCCCATTGATTCCATTTTTGCTAGGGCTCCTTGATGCCACACTCAGTCAACTGCAGATACAGCCTTGTTGTGAAGGGCAGTCAACCACACTTCTTCCCCTCTCCCATCCAGGGTTCAATTCAATTGTCCATGTTGCATCAGGGCTGTAAGGTGTTAGGAAAAGATGTGGAACCAAACCAAAGCATCAGTGAGCAGGTATTGTTGAGGATGTTTCACGAGAGAGCGCTGTTGATAGCATCGTCCATCACTTGCTGATCATTCAAAGTAGGCTGACAGTGATGTCGTTGGCTGGATCGGATTTGTCATGACAGTTTGAACAGCGTTGTTTCACCTTGTTGGGTGGATGCCAGTGTTGTTTTTCATACTGTTTTTGGCGTGTTTTGCACTTTGATAGGAACTGTGACGGTCCGTTATGTCTGTGCTGATCGCCGCTCTGAGGAAGTTGTGGAACAACAGCATTGCTTGCAGTCAGATAGACCCACCGATAGGCTGGAGTCTTGTAACATTGCACCATGCCCTCCATGGTAAGTGTGTGACACAGGAGGGCTGAAGGGCCTGTTCCTGTACTGTAATTTTCTTTGTTCTTGACTCTCACTGGGGTACAGCTCCCACACACACTGACTCTCGCTGGGGTACAGCTCCCACGCACACTGACTCTCACTGGGGTACGGTCCCACACACACTGACTCTCACTGGGGTACAGTCCCACACACACTGACTCTCACTGGGGTACGGCTCCCACACACACTG